CGCGGCGGGCCGCGGTCGCGGGAACCGCGAGACACCCCCCTTCTTTGTTTAGTATTTTAAATAATTATTAATTTTTTTCCCCCTCTTAGAATAAGGCCAAGGAACCATTTATTTGAGTTGCAGTCCCACCTGAGCAGTGGTGGGTTTCAAAAAATTGTTGGAACCTCTTCTGTAGGTGTGGCCTGCTTTCCGGGTCTGCTGGTGGAACCTCTTCTAACCGGTTCGGTAGATTTGACGAACCGGTTCTACCGAACTGGTGTGAACTGGCAGGAACCCACCTCTGGATAAAAGCCAAATGGGTGATTGAGGGCAGGTCTCAACCCAAAGGAAACCTTTACCATTATCCCACATACAGACATAGATCTAGAGTTGGTGTTCATTAAAAAATACATGGATTTGTGGTTCATTTAAGGAGGGGGGGGAAAAAACCCCACACCATTTTGATGTGGGCCTAAATATGTTTCTTTTGTTGCAATGAATAGCAATGATTAACCTTGCAAAAAGTTCCATATGCAGCTGAGAATAGTGATGGCACTCTCAAATGGGAGCTTATTATGTAAATTGCAGCAATTTGATTCATCTCCAAGCATTAGAGAAAAATATAACTTTGAGACGATATTTCTGACTGCAGTGCATGCATTTCTCGTAAAGGCAAAGTCTAGAAATTTGAAGGAGACGTTGTGGAGTTGTAGGAAGCTACTCAGAAATGCCAGTTCTTTAAATTATGGCCCGTTTAGTCAATATTTATTTGTCTTTTGTGAGCCGCCCGGAGTCCTCCGGGAGTGGGCGGCATACAAGACAAATAAATAAATAAATATCATTACACTGTTTCATATACAGTATAACGTATATTTATGTCTTGAAAATTAGATCTGCTAGCTGGACCTTCTAGGAAACGTTGTTCTAACACATCTTGGAGGATGTATATCTGTATGTGTATTTCATTTTGGTAGGACATAGCAGAGTAGGAAATATAATCTTCATCCCTAAAAATAATGAAGTACTGTGAAGCATCTATGTATATCTAAGACCATGTCACATTGTTATTTGTCTAATATTTCTTTCTACAGATTATTTAATGCCAACACATTTGAGACCATTAGTGGCGATGCTTTCATGGGCCTTCCTCATCTAGAATATTTGTGAGTTGAAATATTTATGGTCCAAGATTTATTTTTATTTTTTTGAGTGAGTTGAATGCCTGAGATGACCAGTTGTGTTTGTAACCCCATCACAGGTTTATAGAAAACAACAACATCAAATCACTTTCCAACACTTCTTTTCGTGGGCTGAAGTCCTTAATTCACTTGTAAGTATGTTTGTTTATTTAAATGTATTGGCCATCCAACTCCAATTCAACCGAGTTACAAATTTTCTCCTTTATTGGTAAAAAAATACAAGGATCGTGGCTAAGAGTTTGGCAAGACAGCAGAGAGCTTAGAACAACAGGGAGTGTGGGTGTTATATTTAAACAGGAATTATGCTTTTTGAGGTATAATAAGTAAACACGTTCCATATTACAATAATATTCGCATTACTGGTATTGCTACAACTAATTGCAATAGTGAATCACATCATACGCTATCATTTGCCATCCTAGTGATTCATCAAGCAGGAAAGAAAGAATGCAAGATTAATCTAACCCTAATTATATATATATTTTACAGGAGTCTTGCAAACAACAACCTCCAAACGCTCCCTAAAGACATATTCAAAGGATTGGATTCACTAACAAATGTGTAAGAAAACTTTTTTGATATTCCCATTATGAACGGAAAGAAGAAGGAAGGCTCACAGATATTTCTTATGGAACAAATTTCTCATACAATCAGCCTGAAGTTATCCATTTTATATCCACTTATCATCAATTATCTCATCCATCTAATAGGTGTTTTTTTTTTCCATTTAGGAGCATTCCTCAAGGCAGTTTTCTGCAAGCTGGCAGCTCCCAGATATGCCCAGATTGCGGAAAGGTGCCGGAGAACATCTAAAACAAGATTGTGTTTTTGTGGCAACCTTATCTGTCAGGGGGATTTTCTTAAAATTATATCGGGGTGCAGTGGTTAAATGCAGCACTGCAGGCTACTTCAGCTGACTGCAGTTCAGCAGTTCGGCTGTTCAAATCCCACTAGGCTCAAGGTTGACTCANATATATTTCCCAAGAGATGCAATTGCTAGTCCTATACTTCCATTTCATGCGAATGCAATTACATGAGAAAGACATCAAATAATAGTTACATCCATCTACCCCAAATAATTTTAATAATCACAAGAAATGTTCAAAATGAGACCAAGACCCCTCGCAATAAAGTGACACAGTGTTCCAGCAGAAAATGAGCTGATATGCGTGCAATAAAATAAAACTACATGGAGAACAGGCATGTTTTTTTCTGCAGCATCTGGAGACGTAATTATGGTTTCACAAAGCAAAATATGTCTTATCAAGATCCAGATAACGACTGAGAAAACTAAAATGAGCTAGGTTTATTAATAAGAAGGACTTGTACCCAAATATCATCTATCTAAATCAGTTGGATTTAATTTCCTGAACGTGGCTCTTCTTATTTTAGCATGAAAGAGGAACCACAACATTTGAAGGTATTTTTTGCTTTTAAAAAGGACATTAATAAAACTGATATTATTTACATGACATCTAGAATAACGAACTGGAACGTCACATGGAAAGTTGTTTGAAATTTGTTTCCCGTAAAATTAAAATTGAGTCTTTAACAAAAGAACATTTTGCTGACGGGACACTACAGCAATAAAAATTAGTGGCAATTGCCTTCCTGTTGGAGATATATTTTGACTTGGAATATTAATTCATATGATTTGAATTATGAATGACTTGAGCCCTGTTATTGAATGGCAATATACAGAACTGGTCCTATGACTCGGGAACAATTATGCGTAAAAAAATGCATTAGTCTTGGCGATAATTCTGGTCTTTGGAATTTAGCAAGACATCCAAAATTGTGGACCTTGTGGTACACTAAGAACACTAAGACAAGATGGGAAAGAGGTATCTACATCTGATATGGGGCAGTGGATTGTTGATCAGCATTGTTGGTCAAATTATGAATTATTATAGTTGCTGTTGATTGCTGTTGATTGGTTGGTCAGTTTGAGAAAGGAGAAAGGAAAATACTTTATGTTGCCCGTGTTCGAAGTTCTTAGAGTTCTGTTGGAATATTAGTTCCCAGGCCTTTTTTTCTATTTGCAATCTGAATATGTCTTAAGGGAACATCATATTGTTAATATTATTGCATTCTTCTTTAATAATTTGTTTCTGAAATCAGTTAAAAGAAGTAATTTTACATTTGCGAAGAGGGAAGCAATCTTAAAGCTCTTTCGCTGTATTAGAGGATTTTCGTTCCAGATCTAATTTAAGCCTGGAGGAATTACTCAACTAGAATAAGATTTCAGCCAAAAAAGAGAGAGTTCCCCCCCCCCCAACTCCCGGCAGCATTCTCCATACATAACCCAGGCAAAAGCATCTGCAAAATTGGAGGCTTTCATCAAAATAACAAAAACAGCATTTGTGTTGTCGTTCTACAATCTCCATCCTTTTGTATATGGATCAGTGGTGGGTTTCAAAACATTTTGGAGCCTCTTCTGTAGGTGTGGCCTGCTTTCCGGGTCCACTGGTGGA